TTGGATGTCACCCATTATTATTAACGCAAAAGTTTTTATACAAAAGTTGTGGTTACTAAATCTAAGTTGGGATGATGAATTGCCCGAAAGTTATAAAGCTGAATGGTTGACTTATAGGGAACAAATGATAAATATGACAACTATTTATTTACCTCGTTGGATAGGATTTACAAATTCAAATATGAGAATTGAAATTCATGGTTTTAGTGACGCATCTAATGCTGCTTATGCTGGTGTTGTATATGTTAGAATTGTTGATTCTCAAGTTACTGTTAAAATAGTAGCAGCCAAGACTAAAGTAGCGCCACTAAAACAGATTTCAATTCCCAGACTAGAATTGTGTGGAGCTGTTTTGACTGCTAAGTTGATTGATAAGGTAAAAACTTGTTTGAATGTTCCTGAGAGTAATGTATTTGGCTGGACTGATTCCACTATAGTTCTGGCTTGGCTTCAAAAACCACCAAATTGTTGGAAAACTTTTGTCGGAAACCGAGTTGCGGAGATATTAAATGTAACTCATCCTAATCGATGGCATCATATTAGTACAATAGATAACCCAGCAGATTGCGCGTCTAGAGGTATTTCTCCTACACAGTTGCCAGATTATGAATTATGGTGGAATGGACCACAATGGTTATATACCACTGATGATATTTTACCTAATAATGAATTTCATGAAACAGATTTAGAAGCGAAAGCTAATTCTGTACAATGTTTAAATGTTAATGAACTAGAAGAAGAGTTTATTTTACACAGATATTCTAGTTTGACAAAACTTAAGAGAGTTCTAGCTTATTGTTTGAGATTTATTAATATATGTAAAAAACGTGTGATAAACAGAATGAATTTAAGTAATGTTAATTTGCTTGATGAATTTCCAATTTATTTAACGACCAATGAATTATTACAGTCCATGAATTGTTGTATTAAGATTTCACAAAATTATTATTTTCAAAAAGAATTTAATGAACTATCGAATGGTGAAACTGTTTCGAAGAAAAGTCCTTTGTATTTTTTACGTCCATTTATTGATGATCATAACATATTAAGAGTAGGTGGTAGATTAAAAAATGCTTGTATTCCTCATGATGCAAAGCATTCTATTGTAATTTCTGGCAAATCACAATTAGCCAAATTAATTATTGATTTTACTCATAAGAAATTGTTGCATGGAGGGCCATTACTTATGTTGAATATTATTAGATGTACTTACGGGATTACAAACGTAAAATCGCTTGTTAAGTTACATGTCAAGAAATGTGTTGCTTGCGTAAGATATGCACCTAGATTTGCTACTCAATTGATGGGAAACTTGCCATCAGTTCGAGTCACTATTGCTAAACCATTTTCTAATAGTGGTGTAGATTTCGCAGGTCCTTGCTATTTAAAATCTTCAAAAGTTAGGAATGCTGCTATATACAAAGCCTACATTGCAATCTTCATTTGTACTTCAACCAAATCTATACATTTGGAATTAGTTTCAGAGTTATCAACAAATGCTTTCATTGCAGCTTTTAAAAGGTTTACTTCTCGACGTGGGCACTGTGCTCATTTGTACTCAGATTGTGGGACTAATTTCATAGGGGCGAATTTTGAACTTAAGAAAATGTTAAATAAAGCTAAATCTTCATTGCCAGTAGAGTTGCGTGAGATATTAGCTTCGGAGGGGACCGAATGGCACTTTATACCCCCAGGTTCACCTCATTTCGGAGGCTTATGGGAGGCGGGAGTACGTTCAACTAAGCATCATATCAATCGTGTTATAGGAGATATAAAACTCACGTTTGAAGAGTATGCCACTCTTTTAACACAAATAGAGTGTTGTCTTAATTCCCGTCCCATTTCTGCTTTAAGTAACTCGGTTGATGATTACACAGCGCTAACCCCTGGTCACTTTTTAATGTTAGGTCCACCTAGTGTAGTTCCTCATGAAAATGTGACTGATGTTCCTATTAGCAGACTCAATCGTTGGCAACACATTGAACATATGTTGCAATCATTTTGGAAAAGATGGACACATGAATATTTAGTAACATTACAGCATAGATATAAGTGGCACTCTCCTCAAAACCCTGTTAAAATTAATGACTTAGTTATTGTAAAAAATGAGTGTTTGCCACCATCGAAATGGTTACTTGGTAGAGTAATACAAACTCATCCGGGTAACGACGGAATAGTCCGTGTTGTTACTATCAAGTGTAGTAATAAGATTTTCAAAAGACCCATTACCAAGTTATGTTTATTGCCAATAGATTCATAATTTTAAGGACTAATTCGTCCTTGGCTGGCGGCAAATGTTTAATCTTTTTTGTTATGAAGTAAAATGTCAAATAAATTAGCTGTATCAGCGGACATTGGAAGTTTCATTTCTTAATAGTGTGATGTGTGTACAGAATTTATTTTTGGTTTTCTCATCATTTCATTTTTATAAAAGTGATCTTATAACTTTCTTTTATATTGATCTCATTATAATTATTTCAGTTGTGGTTTTCTCATTTTCTTATATTTATAAAATTGATGTTATAACTTTCTATAATATTGATCTTATTATAAAGATAGTTGATTAGTCACCTTTGAGTTATGTACTATTGGTATAGTAACTTACTACGATAAATGTTTGCAATATAAAGGTGCTAAATATTTTTATTAACAAATAAAAAATACTTGAATTGAATTTAATAGTTTTTTAAATCTCCGTAATCACCTTTATATAGCATTTCATCCTATCAAATGAAAATTAATAAGTTATAAGATCCGTAAAAGATCCGCGAGAAAAGTAACGGATACGGATACGGATATCCGGAACATCACTGGTGGCTAGTACGGTTCAAAACTGTTTTTATCGCTTAAAGGTGCTCTATAGGATTAGACCTTTCTTATCTGAGGAGTTGCGTGTGCGCCTGGTTGAGTCTTTGGTCTTGTCAAAACTCAACTACGCGGAAATTGTATATGGTCCACGACTTCTGGCTCGAACTGATCGACTTATACAAAGATTGCAGAATGCGTGTGCTTTTTTCTGCTTCGTAATACCCGTAAAGATTATGTCACGCCATTCCTGAACGAACATCACATTTTAAAAATGAAATCAAGACGCAAACTACATCTCACGTGCCTACTTTTTGGAGTAATAAATACAAAAGAGCCATCATATTTATATAGTAGACTTGTCTGGTTCGATAGTAAAAAAAAACTAGGCAGGAGGCAATGTGCAAAGCAGCTGGATACCGAATATCATAGAACTTCATCGTTCAGAGGTAGTTTCCGTTACGCAGCATCTAAAATTTGGAATAACATCCCTCCGCCAATAAGAGATAGTAAATCTCTGCTTGCTTTTAAAAAACACTTGCGGCAATACCTGATGGATGCACAGCGTGCGCTGCGTGCGCTATATGGATGTCTCACTCATTTAGCACTTTCTAGCTCTATGGAGCGGTGAAATGTGTTGCAGGTGAATAAGATGATGTTCCCTTGTTTCTTCTTGTATTGGCTTCATAGTGGCCCGACTCTGTTGAGAGGCTTGCTTTGATGTAAGATAAATTAAATTCAAGCATAAGTTATATTTATTACAAATTATTTTAATTTATTGAATAATATTTAAAAATTTTATTATTATTGCAATGGTGTAACTTGATTTTTATATATTATTTTATATAATGAAATTCCATTTTATTATATTATTTAGTCAATATTTGATCAATTAACTTGTAGTACTATTTATAATCAGTACATCGAGGTCACTTTTTATCTTATTTTATAAGTACTTATTTGTTTTTATTGTTTATTAATGGAATATTATTAGAATGAATTGTGGCTTTCTGTTGGTGCAAGTTGGTTCGTTTGTGCTGCTTGTCGGTTCGACGTCAGAAATGTATAATTTATTTACATTTTCTTTTTGTTACCTTCATTTGCGTGCGTGCTTGGTCTGTAATGTGTGGCATCCGTGTGTCAAAGAAGGAAAGGGTCTAGTTGAAAATCAGCGTCAGCGTCACTGACAAATGCTGAACTAGATGCCTTGTTGACACAGGCATGGGACACTATTTTTTATTTTTATTTAAGCTTTCTTCTGTATGTTTGTCTTTATTCTACTGTGTCCTGTATCTGTGTTGAGTAAATGAATTTGAATTCCTTATTACATCAGCTATCTGCCATGAAAGTCCCGTCAAAATTTTTCTAACCGTTTTAGAGTTTAACCCATTTAGTAACAAACAGACACAAAAAATATTATTTTGGTATAGCTATGTACCATGTACACTTACGTGTGCATTTAGTAAGAAATGGTTAATTTTTATTTATTATTAACAAATTATTATTTGTAAAAACGATTAATCGATCAATGATAATCGATTCCGCACATCATTAATTTCAGGTACTCGAGAACCCGAATACCTGCTAGTCAGTCAGTCAGAAAATTATTATTACTACTAATTTTATTTTCTTATAATTAGCTTAATAATTATATAGCGAAATTATTAACAGTCGATATGTAGATTCATTTTTTTTATGTGTTTATTTATGTATTTAATAATTATATATGTCGCATCATCATTACGAAGATCGTTTGATTTAGTTTCTTTTATTTTAATTGCTAGTTACTCGATTGTAAAGAGAGCGTGATCATCGATACTTTTAATTTTATTAGAATTGTGACACTGACTTTGACAGTTCGTTTATAAAAACTAAGTTGCCGCCATTTTGGGACACATTCTGTTTCCGATCGCCGAGGAGTAAAGACATCCGATGACATCACGCTCATCTCATTATATTTTCGTATGAAAAGTGATAAAATGGAACAAATCCACGTTGGTATACACGCCTGCAGTGTTATTTTAAAGATAGTCCTCCGATATGGACGATCTATTTGGGCTTCGTAATAGCCCCTTCTGACTACCCGCCGTTATATATAAGATTTTAATATAATTTAGTCAATAGTGTCACACTATACGTGACACGGCCGATGCGAGAAGCGACGGAAAGAAAACAACGCAAAAGAGGCATCAAATTTAATATAACAATTCATCGAGAACAATATAACGTCACAATATAAACTCACAGAAGGAAACGAAACATACATTAACCATATGTTAACGAAAACAACAGGCGATATACAATATAAAAAAAATAGCATACGAACAACACCGACGTTCCTAAAATTCTAAAAGACTGCGCGGCGACAATATTACACTACAGAGGGCGATCCCCGACGCCGCCCCCGGGCGACGCTCGGGCGATACTCAGGCGATGCTCAGGAAGTAGAAGGCGAGCAGCGCCGCCGCGTACAGCAGCCCGCTCGCCGCCATCAGCGCCCGCAGCGTGGCCCGCTGCCGCCCCGCGCCCCCCTCCGCCCCGCGCCCGCCCCCCTCGGCGGCCGGCACTTTGCGCCGCAACCGGGGCCGCGGGGGCTGCGGGAGCGGCGGTCGCCGGCGCTCCGGCTCGCCCCCCGCCCCCGTCTCGGACGCGAGAGCGAACTGCGGCCGCGGCGCGCCCTCCGCCCCCGGGCCGGGCGCGCGGCCCTCCGGCTCCGGCGGCCGCGTCCGGCGCCCGAGCGCCGGCCGGCACAGCGCGCCCGCGTCCACCGCCCCCGCCGGCTGCCGGTACCCGAGCGGCCGGCGGCGGCGCGCCGACTCCCCGGCACCGGCGGCGGCGGAGGGCTCGGGCACGAGCACGCCCGAGGGCGGCGGAGGCGCGCGGGGCTCGGCCGCGAGGCGCGGGGGCGGCGGGGCGGGGCGCGGCGGGGGCGTGCGCAGCGGCATGTGGTGGCCGGGGCGCCGCGCCCGCAGGTGCAGCCCGTAGCGGAAGTAGCGGTCGCTGTACACGACGGTCGCGAGCGAGCCGGCGCGCGGCTGCAGCAGGTTGCAGACGGCGGCGACGCACGGCGGCGGCGGCCGGCGCAGCAGGCGGCGGAGCGCGCGGCGGGGACGCGGGCGCGCGGGGGCGGGCGCGGGGGGGCGGCGGCGCGGGGAGGGGGCGCGGCGCAGGTGGCGCAGGCGGCGGGGGCGCGCGCCGCGTCAGTCGGCGGGCAGCGGCCGCGCGCGGCGGGCGAGCGCGAGGTCGTGCAGCGCCTCGAGCGCGGCGGCGGAGCTCCACGCCTGCGTGCGGCACGAGTGCTCGCAGAAGGCGCCGCCCTCGTTGGTCAGCTCGGGCAGGCCGCGCCACGGCGAGGAGCGGATCTCGGCGAGCAGCGGGCCGAGCGTCGCGTACGCGGCGGCGACGGTGCGCGCGTGGCGGCCGTTCTCGTGCGCGAACGCGAGGCGCGCGCGCAGGTAGAAGCCGAGCGGCCACACCCACTCGGGCCCCTGGTGGTAGTTGAAGCCGTGCGCGACCGCCGGGTCGGCCGAGTCGTCCGCGTTGTCGTAGGTGCCGCGGTACGCCCAGTCGGCCGGGTCGAGCGTCTTCACGCCGAGCGGGCCGAGCAGCAGCCGCTCGACGTTGTCGAGCGCGAGCCACGCGCGCTTCGGGTCGAAGAGGTCGGGCGCGACCGCCATCGCGACGGGGAAGTTGCAGCGCAGCTGGTAGTCGGCCCAGGGCCGCGAGGCGCCGTGCGTGTCCTTGTAGATGGCGCGGCGGTGCACGAGGTCGGGCCGCGCGTCGGCGGCGGAGGGCGCCGGGGGCACCCAGAAGGCGCGCTCGAAGTGGCGCCGGATGCGCTCGGCCCAGGCGGCGAAGGGCCAGGAGGTGAGGCGGCCGTCGCGGTGGCGGCGCACGAGGCCCGCATGCGGGTAGCGGCGCGCGCGATGCTGCGCGTGCAGCCAGCGCGCGGTGGAGTAGGCCAGCGCGACCAGTTCCACGGCGCTGCCGTCGCGCGGGGTGGCGGGCGTGCCGCGCGTGCCGGCCTTCTCGGAGGAGCCCATCTTGTCCATCCAGGTGCCGCAGTTGGCGTCGTTGCCGCCGAAGGGGAAGCCGGTCTCGGGGTCGATGCCGATCTGCACCTCGAACCCCTTATCGGACATGTGCGCGTCGATCTGCCGGCCGGCGTTTCGCTCGCGGAACACGAGTCCCTGTGAGACGATCGGCAAAAATTAAGAGATCCTAGTTCGTGCGCTAGACTTGCGGTTCCCCTTCTCGAGTCGGTCGTCGATGATCACTCTTATTTACGACCGATCGCTTGTACATTTTTAAGTAAATAATTAATTCAGTAAACGAGTTCGGTTTTCCTAGAGCTAAATGTGCCGCAGGTGCTAGGATTGCACTTTTAAGACTACGATGCCCGGAGAAATGAACAGGATACTATCGGAATTTATTGCGACTGCGTTAGAAATGAAACACCGTCGAGGAAATTATAAAAAATAAATAAAATAAATAACCCCCGATTTCAATAATCAAAAATCTTCATTCTTGCTCCCATTCGTAGCATTTCCTACCGATGGTAGCTAAAAAGATTTCGATAACATACCTGTACGGTCCAATGACCTACATTTTAATTATATTAGAGTCATCGTTTTATTTTATTTCGACATTCGTTAGGTATGTAGAGTCAGTCCACATTCAACACGCGACTCATCAATTAGTATTTGCAATTGAAATTACGCAATAAAAGTTATTTTGAATATTTCAAGTTTTATCATTCAACTTCTTATAATTTTGGTGTGTTGGTCACTCAACCCATACATCGATTGGTCCTTCGAGCCTCCGAAGGCAGGACCTTTACTCGCGTGTGTGTAAAAAGTTTGCGTGTTCACTAGGGTGGATACTATTTTTTATCAAGAAAGTTTACTTGGTATAATAAGATTCGACACAAAATAAAACGAAGTTCGATCGGGATTTAAATAAGGGGGGCGAGGGCGCTGGGGGGTGATTCTTAGCTTGCACTTGTCGCGTCGTTCGCGCGTCGTCAGTGCTCTTTAATCTTAGCTCGGATCAGTCGCACGCTCGTTTATCGTTAAAATACGTTCGATATTGGCAACTATGCAAAGAACTCGGAGTGTATTCAAATGTCCTCTATTTGGTGATGTTTGTGAGATGAAAGAGAACGTTCTACCTACTTACAAAGAGGTAATTAAGTACTATGAGTGGACGAGACATCAACTGAAATTACAATTAGAAACCGCAAAAGAACCAATTTTTGGTGAGATAGCAGACATACTAACATTGTTCATTGTTCATGACATAGACATAGTGACATAGTTCGACATTGGGTCTGATGTTGAGATCATCATACGAAGAGAGAGAACTAAAACTAGAGAAAAAATAATGGAAAATGCAACAGTTACAGAGCTCTTGGCTTTATACTTTGATGGGATTAAAGACAAAACTTTGAAAATTGACAAAAAAGGCGGTAAATGCTACAGGACTATGGCTGTTGAGGAACATATTTCAAAGTCAAAGTCAAAATAATCTTTATTCAAATAGACTTCTTAAAAGTACTTTTGAATCGTCCAATATTTTTTCACTGATTCAAGAGCCGGGAATCATTTACATGGGATACGTGGTACCTGATGTTGGTACAGCAAAAGGGATATAAACCGCGATAACAGGGTTTCTGTTGCAGAAAGAAGTTTCCCAAGATAGAATTATGGCAATTGGTTGTGATGGTACGAATGTTAATACTGGAAAGTCTACTGGTGTAATGCTTGAGAAAAGGAGGAGCTGCTTGAGAAAAGGCTACAAAAACCACTTCAATGGACAATTTGTTTGCTCCACTTGAACGCACGAACGTTTAAGTTTACATACCTGATTTGGTGGGACATCCAAACCTTCAGGAGGTCTCATGTAAATGTCTTCTTTCACATCTCCATATAAAAATGCAGTCTTGATGTCAAACTGCATCATTTCATATTCATGTTGAACAGCTTCTGAGAGTAAGATTCTTATTGAATCATATCTTACTGTTGGTGAGTAAACTTCAGTGTAGTCAATATCTTTTATTTGTCCACATCCTTTAGCACATAGTCTTGATTTAAAAACTGACCCATTATCTTTTACTCTGAAGACCCATATACAGTCAATTAGACGTACTCCTTTTGGTTTTTCAATTAAACTCCAGGTGTTGTTCTTTTGGTGTGCATTTAGTTCTTCCTTAATTGACCGTTTCCATTTCTCAGCATGCATATTGTCAGTGGATATTGCTGCATCATAGGTTTCTGGAACATCATATTGATCAATTATTTCATCTGCACATATATATGTATTACCCTGCTTTTTGGCAGTCCGCATTTTAGATCTAGTTGTTATATTTCGTTCTGTTTCCATATCCTCAATTGTTTCATCTGGTTCATATATAGATCCATCATCTGAATGGTAGGAGTCTTCAGTGCTCTCAGATGTTGTGTCATTATTAGTCGGGCTTTCATTTTCAATTTTTGATTCCGAGACCGACTCAGATAATGGCATCACAGCATAATCTCTCTTTACTGAGCTTTCAATAAAAATTGCATCTCTGCTTATTAAGGTTTTTCTTGTCTTTGGATCAAAGAACCTATAACCTTTTGTTTGTTCACTATAGCCCACAAAAATCATCTTTATTGCCTTTGGATCCCACTTCTTGGCTTTTTCTTTAGGGATGTGAACCATAGCTTCACAACCAAAAACTTTTATATTACTAATATCAGGCCTTTTACCAGTCCATTTTTCTTCTGGTGTTAAATAATCTAACACCCTTGTGGGGCATCTATTAGTGATATATGCTGCTGTTGTCACTGCTTCAGCCCAATATTGTTTTTGTAGTTTTGCGTTAAGCAACATACATCTTGCTCTTTCTAATAGAGTTCTGTTCATTCGCTCCGCCAAACCATTTTGTTGAGGGGTGTAGGGGACTGAAGTTTGATGAGAAATGCCAGACTTTTTAAGAAAATGCTGAAAATCATTGCTTAAATATTCATTCCCATTATCAGTACGGAGTGTTTTTATATTAAAACTAAGTTTATTTTCCACTAAGGCTTTAAATTCCTTAAATTTTTCAAACACTTCTGATTTCTTAGTTAATATGTATATAAATACCTTTCGAGTGAAGTCATCAATGAATGTAACAAAGTAACGAGCACCTCCAAGAGATGATACCTCCATGGGTCCACAAACATCGGAGTGGATGAGTTCCAGTGCATTTTGTGCTCGTGATCCCTCAGTAGGGAAAGGTATTCTTGATTGTTTTCCTTGTAGACAAGAAATACATATTACTTTTTCTTTATTTTCCAACTTCAATCCAGAACTTTCTGTTAATTTATTCAAATCTTCAAAATTTAAGTGAGCCATTCTCTGATGCCATAAATACCAGTCTTTTTCTTTTGTTACAGATGTGTAGGCAGGCATACTGTGGGTATTTAGTTTGTACATGTTATTACTCATCTTTGCAGTGGCAACTTGTTCATTATTTCTGTTTGATATTTTACAACCTTTCTGATCAAATTGTACTTGACATCCGTTTTTAATAATTTGACTGACAGATAAAAGATTGGTGGCCAAACCAGGAACATAAAGAACATCCTTAACTTGAATTGTATTCATCTTGCCATTACTGCCAATCACATTTAAATTTACTTTACCACAAGATTCCACTAAAAGTTTCTTGTCATCTGCCACTTTTATTGTATTTATTGGTGGTGGTATTTTGTCATATAGCCAGTCACTGTGCATAGTCATATGCATTGACGCTCCAGAGTCTATAAACCATCCATTTTCATTGTTTTCAGTTGCAGAAAATACTGCTACATAGTTTCCACTTTGACCTGACTGTTTCTTCTTATGCCAACAGTTTTTACTTATATGTCCATATTTGTTACACACAAAACATCTTGGACCTTTACTTTTAGTTGTTTTCTCTGAAGCTTGTTTGGCAACCTGTAACTGATTCCCTTTGTATTTATTCACATATAATGCATTACTTTCAGAGCTTCTTACATCTTGTAATAGTTTAGTCTTCACAGAATCAGCAGTTATTGCCACGCCGGAGCTTTCAAGTGCCATAATCATTGGCTGGTAGACTTCAGGTAAGCCAGCTAGCAATAGCGTACCAAGCCATTCATCATTCACATCAAATTTTATATTTCTTAACTTGTGTGCTGTTGATATAATCTTGTTTACATAGTCTTCTATGCTCTGACATGATTCTAATGTTGTGGTTATCAGATCTCTCAATAAGCCAACCTTTCGTGTCAATCCTTTGTCATCAAAAGCTCTAGTGAGGTTATTCCACACCTCCTTGGCAGATTTCGCCTCTTGTATATGTACATAGTTGATAGGATGTACCAATAAAATTATTTTAGACTTAGCTTTTGTTTCAAGTTTAGGGTCAACTGTTTCTTTCGCTGTGACGCATTGCCACAAGTCCTCGTGCTCTAGATACGTTTGAACGGCGAATCTCCACGTTGGATAGTTCTCTCTTCCAGTCAGTTTTTCAATCAGTGCCATCGTATTTGTAGAAGACATTTTGCTGATGAAGAGATTGCAAGAAACAGAAAACACGTGTTGACTTTAAGGTTATGACTTTACGGAACTACTTTTATTACGGATTCAATGAAACTTTTATACTGTTTTATACTATTGACTGTTTTGAGAAAGCAATCAGGTGGCCTGGGCCCATAACCTGATGAATTTACTAATTAAAAGATCAAAAAGCTTTATAACGTAGTTTAATAATTGACGAGATTCCACAGAGTACAGATTATCTATATTCTATATCAAAATAGAGGTGACACATTCTCCAATAGTGTTGTATGAATCGATAAAGTCAAATTTTAATATTTCAACATGGGTGTACTTCAGGACCTAAATCTTATATTGGTCTACTAGGAAAATCACTGGAAACCTGTGAAAAGCTACCTGTTAAAAAATTTGAACGCATCGAAGGTCAAATGCTACCAGAAATGGCCAAAGATCTGAGTACAGACCAACAGTACTTGTATAAAATTGTCTCAGCGGTAATTTCGGGTGAATTTCCAGAAGAGCTAGGCAATAAATCTCCAGGAAAACTATCACATGCTCGTTGGATCACGCGTGCTAACCGAATACTGCGTTTCTATGTATCAACTGAAGAAACATCTGAAAATTTGAAAACTCCGGCTACTTTTGTGGTCAAAGTTTACGCATCTTCTTGGTTCTTAATTAAAAATAAACCATCATGCAAAGATGTCACGCGTCATCTGTTCAATATTATAAAGGCCTCCAGATACCTACCAGAAAATCTAAAAAAATATAGATCCTGTTATCGAAAGAAACGGTTACTTTGCGCATCCTGAAGGGATTCTATTTGCGATGATAACAGATGAGAAAAAGCATGTTAAAGAGCTGGCAGCCCGACGTATACTGAAGGCACGCAGTACTGCTCAACATCCAACACCTAGACTGTTTCAAGTGCCATTGATAGATTTCAACGCGTCTACATATATTGATTTAATAAATTGGCAAGAAAATTTTACCGAACCACCGATTTTTAAAAACTTATCGGACCAGGAAATTGCGAACATTGTCGAATCTGGTGGTGAAAGCGAACTGTTGTTTATAAGGCTTCCCTGCCACACTCAAGCTGTTGAAACAGAAGCTTCCACTTCTCAGTGCACAATAAAGTCGAGATTAGGTGCAATAAATGCCAAGCTGGAATCGCGGAACAAAATGCCTAAATGTGAAACTAAAAAGGATTTTAAATGTAATTTTTCGAGTATGTTTAAAATTTATTTTTACAGCAATGCCTTAATTAATGTCTCACTTATATATTGTTTATCATTTAACACTTAATTATCACTAAATGATTCACAATATATATAGCCTTTTAAACTTTAACCTAATTTTCAATTATTGGGGTCACTGCGGGCAGAGGCTGAAGATGTTAACCAAATGAAATGAAAAATCCCACATTTTTTTACTTTAACATAAGGCACAAATCCCCCCCTCTTAGAACTCTGAACCTTAACAAAAAAAATTTTTTCATACGTCCGTGCTGCACCTTTGTGTACACCCCAATTGGATTGTCACGGCAAGCCTGCGACGTAAGTCGAACAGCCTTCGGTGAGTCAGTTCATCTTGTATCTATTTCTTCTTCTATTTTTTGTTTTAATGTTTATATTCGCCATATTTTTTACAAGAGAGATAAAAAAAAACAAAACATTAGTTGACATTTAAAAACAAACACTCATATATAACCAAAGAGGTTTTAAACATGTAATTATAATGAAACTCTTAAGATAGAATAGGTACTCGGAATATTGAATATTACCGTCCCCAAGGACGACTAGTCCTTAAATAAGATAAAACAAACTAACTATAACATAAATAAACTAAATTAAAATAGGTAAATATTTGATTAAATATCCAAAGGAAGAGGGCAGATTTTAGTTACAGGTCGACGAAATATACAATTCTTAAATTGCAAGGTAACTACTCGGGTTAAACCATCTTTCCCTGGATGCTTCTCAATGATACGACCTATTAACCATTTTCCAGGGGGGAGTCTTTCATTCTTCACCAATACAACAAACCAAAAAAAATCTGGTTCAGATTTTTTATCTGACCACTTGTATAGATTCTGTAGAGATGTTAAATAGTGGGAGCTTCAACGCGTCCACAAACTTTGAACCATTTGCCTTCTATCTAAACGAGATACAGAAACATCCTCCAATTTTCGTCTGGTACGGTGATTGGGGTAAGATCATCTATCATTCAGGTAAGATCAACAACTAATTGGAGGTAAAGGTCGAGAATTAACACAAGGTTCCACTTGTGCTAACAAAGTGGCATACTCTTCAAATGTTAGTAGTGTTTGTCCTACAACACGTTTGAGGTGGGTCTTCATGGACTTAACTCTGGCCTGCCATAATCCTCTAAAGTGTGGAGATCCAGGTGGTATTAAAATGCCATGTGGTATTATCATTAGCAAGTAATTCTGCAATTTCACCAATCACTTCAGACTTTTTATTTTTGAAGTGGAGGTAAATTTACACAGAGTAAATTCTTTATAACCCTTTCTGTTTTCATGCACACATCAAAAATATATTTTAGACTACCCATATCTTTTATATCTATTAATTTATGAAAACATAATATGGCTGTAGCATATGAATTATGTCTACATTCCGCATATTTCAATCGCTTAACTAAGCTACTAACTAGAAATCCAAAAATGTACTCTACTGCTTGAGAAACAATATCTGAAGAACTCGAACCGCTACACCAAAATGGTTTTAATTGATTGTTTAAAATTTTTGGGAAAAATATGCAACAGTACACTACTCCATGTATGTGCTGTATGTTCTTTATGTTATTCTTGGACGTCTTCTTTATAATAGACTGAATGTCAAGCTAAACATATATCACCTTAATTACAACATTTGTAAGAATACTCTTCATGAAGCCCTTCATATATTGTCATAAGAAGATACGAAGAGATTATTGTTAGTAAATAAGTAAAGATGCAGCTTTAAATTAAGTTTATATCAATGCATCAAGCAATAATAAATTGCTTTTAATCTTTATTCTACACTAGCTTTCCGCCAGCGGCGTCGCCCGCGTGTTCTTGTATTATGTACAATACAAGACATAATTCATAATTTCATTTAATTTTTATTGTGCTTAATGTTAGTTGAGTAAGTCTTTTTCTCGCCTGACATACAGGCAGTTCCTAGTTGTTCAGACACTGGTGTAATTTTGTGCAATTTTCTATATATAATTACCTCCATTTTTATACACCGTGTTCATTAGTATTTTAATAAATAATTTATTTCATTAATAGAAAGTCTATTAATATTACTTTCAATCCTAAATATTTCAAAAAAATATGTAGATTAAGTCTCGCAATATTTTTTAATATCGTCCTTGATGTATCTGGTATCTGCTGATATTTGTGGACTTCAGCATTCTTTGTAAACCAAGGTGCCTTACACAAGATCTTGAGGGCAGCATTTTGGAATCAGAGCTCTATTCCGTATGTCCAAATAGGTTTGATAATGGATTTGTAGATTAGAATTTTATTTTCCAAGCTCAGTACTGATTTTCTATCAATTAACCAGTACATTTCCTTCATTTTTGATTAACCAGGTCTCTCTTTGCTTTTATGTTGTTTCTCCAAGTTAGATGTGTCGATGTGCATTCCCAAGTACTTAACATTTGTCTGATGAGGTAAGATAGTACTATCGAGTTTAACGGCCGGCCAGTCCTGTTTCTTTAACGTGAAAGTTATATGCGTCGACTTTGAGGCCCTAGTCCTAAATCTCTATCGTTTCAGCCATGAAGCAATCCTATTAAGATGCTCTTGAAGCTTTTCTGTGGCAACATTGGGGTCTGCACTACAAGAGAGTACAGAGGTATCATCTGCATATGTGGAGGTCACTACATCAGTTGATGTGGGCATATCCGCAGTGTATATAGTATAGAGCATGGGCCTAGAACAGAGCCCTGTGGCACTCCAGCTCTAATTTCTCTGAGTCCTATCAAACCATCTCCTTCTTTTATTTGAAACAGTCGATGTTCAAGATATAACTTTAAGAGCATGTGAGCTGCATTTGGTAGACAGCGCTCGAGTTTGCATAGAAGTCCTACATGCCATACCCTGTCGAAAGCCTGTTGAACGTCAAGAAATACCGCGGAACAATATTCCCTCCTTTCCAGAGCTTGTCTTATGGTATGGGCTATCCGATGTATTTGTTCTATTGTGCCATGCCAAAGCTTAAAGGTTGATTGTAGATATATTAAATAAAAAAAAAAATCTGAGACTATGACATTATTGTATTTGATCAAGCCCGCATTCACAATGCTATACTGACATCATAATTATCATGAAGAAAGATGCTAAAAAATTTTTAAGTAGGTACCTACACCGTTTAAGTTTATTTTGATTTAACACTCAGAGTTTAACAGATACAACAGAATTGCCATAACAGCTTGGATTCATGTAGTACTGTATTTATGATTTTTTAGACGAAGGTGTACACTTTTATTTTAGAGAAGTATTTTATAAACATAATCAAAATATAAAAAGGTATAACTAGAAATGTTTATCGTGCTGTCGGGATCAGGAGAAGACAATATAAACATCGCTGAATGATTTTTAATGAAATTTGGATCTTAAAATTTCTATGAAATGAGCTCAATAAGCATCGCAGCAAATAATATCGTCACACTGAAATCGCCGTTCTGTCGTTATAGGGCGAGGGCGCGACGGGAGAGAGCGGAACATCGAGGGGGGCCGGGCGTCACCTGGAAGTGCACGTCGAGCGTCTCCTGCATCACGTCGTACAGCGGCTGCGGGGCGGCGCCGGGCGGGGCGGGGGGGGCGTCGTCCTGCGGGAACAGCCGCGCCACCGGCTCCGCCAGCAGCGCCTCCCCGCCCTCCACCTCCGCGCAGTACTGCTGGATCGTGTACAGCCACCACCACACGGCGTCGCGGCAGTTGAAGCGCGCGCGCCCGCCGCCGTCCAGCAGGTTGGGCACCAGCCCGTGCCGCACGCACGCCGCGTAGCCCAGGATGTGCGCGCGCGCCTCCTGCGGGCGAGGGGGCGGGTCAGCGACGGTCGGCGACGGGCGGGCTTCTACGAATCGACCGGGTTCGAACGGGAGCGCACCTGGGGGCGGCCGGTGAGCAGGTAGAGGCCGCGCAGCGAGACGAACGTGTCGCGGCCCCAGCAGCGCATGTAGCCCACCGCGAAGTGCGGCAGCCCCGCCGACAGCGAGCCGCGCGGCGGCGGCGGCTGCAGCGCGGGCGCGGGCGCGGGCAGCGGCGCCGACGCCACCGCGGCCGTGAGCTGCACCGAGGTGAGCGCCAGCGCGCGCGCGAACTCGCCCCCGCGCGCCGCCCCCCCCAGCAGGGCCAGCGCCGCGCGCTCGGCGGCCGCGTGCAGCGCCGCCAGCAGCGCGCCGGCGTAGGCGGGCGCCAGGTACCGCGGCAGGTCGGCCAGCGGGCGGGCCAGCTCGCGCACGCGGGCCCCGAGCGCGCGCAGCCGCGGCTCGCGCTCGAGGCGGCGCGCGTGGTAGTCGAGCAGCCAGTCGCCGTCGCGCAGGTTGCGGCACAGCGGGTGGTCGAGGCGCTGCGCGGACGGCTCCGCCAGCAGCGAGGCGACGCCCTGCAGGCCGGCGTACGGCAGCGGGCCGTGGCCGGGCACGTGGTAGACTCCGTCGCCGCCGGTGGCCTCGCGCTCCTCGGCGTCGCAGCGGTACAGCACGGCGTTGAGGTCCACCAAGTCGAGGTCGGCGAGCGCGTCGCGCAGCCGCAGCGGGTCGGCCTCGCGCGGCGAGTGTGCGCGCCGCACGAGCGCGCCGAGCGCCGCGACCGCGTCGCGCTGCCGCGGCGTCGGCGCGATGCGGAACGCCACCTGCGCGCGGGGGTCTCTCTTAGCGGGGAAAAGGAGGAGGACGTTCGATCTATTCCCGTGGCCGACGCTTCCTCCCCGCTAACGGGAGCCGCTCCCGACGTCTATCTAGCGATTTTATTGAAATAGAAATATGTCGGAGCGATTAGTCGCTCGGTGGCGATAGTAATAGTGATAACTCTGTGACCGAATTAATAATGGGTATTACTATTTATTTTATTAGTCTATATATCTTATATACGTACGTTTATTACATATTTTAGTTAGTAAGTATTTTTGTAGTGTCTGGTTAGTATTGTAGTTCTTTTATCAATTTCTATGTGAATTGTTGAATTTTTTTAATATTCACAGTGCGATCACTTATAATTAAGGTAATAACTGAAAATCAGTGCTTTGCTCTTTGAGTAAATACTTACTGAGTTTTCGCCCATTTGCATCGTTGCGGTACACATAATGTTTGATTTTCCTATTTTAGTTTCTAATATTTTGTAAAATTTAAATTGTAAAATTTTGTGTATGTATGATGCCAATAAGGAATTTGTCATATTATATCATATCATATTATATCAATAATAATATTGTAACGACGATTTCCTGACGACTCTATATTTAAGTAATGGAAGATCGGATTTCGACCTGTTAATTAATATTTTGTAGAAGTTTCCGACACCCTCCTCTCCGTAATATATCGAGCGCGACTCGATCGTAGATGTGGTATAAACACAATGATCAGAAATCCAAAAAACGACGACGCCACGCGTCGCTGCCGGAAAATCAGCGGCGACGCCAATGTCGAGTCGTAATGAATACTCTGATCTTTTGTAAAATTTGCAAAAAGATACTGTTTCAATTTCGTCGTTTAATTAATTTTCGCTCCCTTGAAGAATTTTAAAGAATCAACATAAAAAACATATCAGAGAGGTCACGATACGGATTATTGTAATATTTCTAATGTATTTTTATCTGTACCTCGATTGCGGTCGCGTAAATTTTAGCCTACGCCTAGATTCCATCGAGTATATTCAAAATGTACCACCGCGCCGGGCAGCAGCGGCTTGAAGTGCAGCTCGGTGGCGCCGCCGTCGATGCGCGCGTGGAGCAGCGCGGCGGAGGCGGCGGGCGGCACGCGCTCGCGCACGCACGCCACGTACTCGCCCGCGCCGCGCAGCAGCCGCGGGTCGCGCGGCTGCGAGCGCGCGCGCGCCAGCGGCGACCCGCCCGACCTGCTCCAATCGATTAATATAAAATAAACATGGACCATACGCAGTGTTACAGTAGTTGAGTTTAAACAGTATCGAAGTCTCGCTCGAGGAAACTCTGAAATCGGTAAAAACGATTTCATGCACGTTCAACGATATGATCGTTAGAATTTAATGCAAAACGGACTGTGACCCAAAAGGTATTGAAAGGAAAAGAAATGGGCGTACGATCTCGTCCGACTTTCGGCGAGCAAATAACGAAACCTCACCCGCCTCGATTCCGAACTGTCAGACGCGTAACCGCGACGGTAGCTCGACTCGGCGGGTACGCACGGTGCTCAGCTTCGGTAGCTCACTGCCGGACGAGTCTATACATGGATACGCTACGACCACGGGTCTAGACACTATACGGGTGGTGGAACGTCCACGACGCGGTACACGAACGTTGTGCTCTCTTCAGCGCGCAGCAAGCTAGTGTCGTTGTAGAAATTTTCAATGGGCGAAGTAAAAGTTAATCTACCCACCGATAATTGGACAATAACTAAACGATGATGTTCAAAATAAAGTTTGCAATCGAAGATAAGTCCCAGGATCCTTTTAATCGACATTAGTTTAGTTTTCTATGGGTTTCACACAAAACAATGCAACTGACACCGATCGGTAACCCTAACCAGATATTCATTCACCCTAGCTACAGCATCGACATAATCGATTAGAAAGAAAGATGACGTTGACATTTTTTCGCTATCATTAAATCAATATAAACGAAAAGTGAGAGATATTATATTTAAAAATGACTAATCAGAGTGAGTTTTTGAGATTGTTGTGGAGAAGCTGTTTGTTTGATGTGTAGGTTAAGTTTAATCGATATTATTACCATTGTTAATAGTGAGCAATTAAATAATTTTGTTAGTACTCGTATTTAGTAATGGAACTGTCAGGTCTATTAGTTACCTAAGTTTTTTTTTTGTATATCAATTGTAAACGACTGTTTGTTTCCTAAATAAATAAAATAAATAAAAATAATACTGGAAGCAATTGATTATGTTAGCGCTGTCGAGGACCTAGAGGATAGGGCCCAGAATGGACCCCTGGGGCACTCTACGGGTAACTCGGAGAGTAGAGCGTGATTTGGTTCCATTTACATCCAAGAGTTCCACACACTGTTGCCTATTTGTTAAATAACTATGGAACCATCTTAAACTGCTGTTTTCAACTCCATAATAGAACAACTTCGACAACAGCAAAGTAGTATTGATGGTATCAAATGTGCAAGAAAAGTCGAGCATAAGTAGCATGCTGACCCTCCCCTCATCCAGGGCAGACAGAAATTCAATCACAACATCAGCAAGGGCAGTAGCCGTCCTATGACTCCTACGGAACCCAAGCTGTCCGGAAATATGTCATCGTCTTCCAGGTTCTCTCGTAAACTGGTCACATAGAACACGCTCCAAAATCTCGGATATACATCGCAGTAGACTGATGAACAACTAAATGAACGCTTTTATTGGGTGAAAAGATATAAATAATGTAAACGATATAATCACAGATACAGCACGTACTCGTCGTCGACGTGCCTGAGGTCCATCTCGAAGAGGATCTCCTCCAGCTCCCCCTCCACGCGCAGCGGCTGCGGCGCGCGCGGCCCCGCCCCCTCCTCCGGCGGCCGGAACGCCGTGTACGCCAGCAGCACCACCGACTGCACAGCGGGCGGGGCGTCAGTGGGCGTTAGTGGGCACTAGCGCTAGACACTAGCCACGCGAGGCGCGCGGGCGCGACGTTACCTTCCTGGTGGCGGGGTGGTGGCGCGTGATGGCCACCACGTGGTCGTCGCGCTGGTCCACGTACAGCTCGCAGTAGCCGTCGCGCGCCAGCTCCAGGTGCAGGCGGTTGAGCGCGCGCCGCGCCGCCAGCAGCACGCAGCCGCCGTCCGCGCGCGACGGGTACAGCCGCGCCTCGTCCACCACGTGGATCTGCATTTCATTTCACGACATCCACGATTAATCTGAATTCTAAAGGAAGAAAAAGTCTCCGCTCGGTGTGGTCCTCTTCCTGCGCGAATCGAATTTTTAACGTTTAAATTATTTTTGGCGAAAACTTTCGACGTTTCCAAAGACGTACTCCTGATTTTTTTTTTATTTCGTCCTTTTAAATATAATTGACTTGAAAATAGAAAACTATCGTAATGAAAATACGTAGGTTAACTGACATAGGCACTGTCAGATTAGTATTCTTCGGTTACTTTCATAGTGTAATGTCGTACGGAATCCTATTGTAGGGAAATGCAATTTCAATACAAGAAATAAAAAATAAATTATCGGTGCCTGTCACTAGACTACAAAAAGTTAATAACTCATTCAAGGGTCTTTGTGTGCGCTTCTACAATAAGGTTCCAAGCAAGATAATACAATTAGATATCATGCAGTTTAAATCTACTTTTAAAAAATATTTATTAAAAAAGCCTATTATAAGGTATCCGATTATATAACAGATAAGAACGCTTGGACTTGAGATTATCCAGCATCTGGATAGGTGATTACTTCTAAACCCATAACCTTGTTTTCATTATTATTAAATGATTATGATATCATTATAAGACCATAGTTTTTTTTTCTTTCTGTTTATAATTGATCTGGTAATGACATGGTTTTTGTAAATGTCATTACTCTTATTAAAGCTGGTGAGTTTTTTGCTCGTTCTTCTTATCAGGTAAAAGACGTCCTGAACGAGTGGTAGGGAAAAAAAATGTTGGGCAACTCAAAAGTACTTTTAAGAAGTTTATTTAAATAAAGATTATTTAGACTGACTATCCTCGTGGTATATTGTATCTGCGTATATACTGACGTGGTGCGGCACGAGGTAGTCGTAGCCGCAGGTGGAGCCGGTGGCGCAGCAGGACATGGCCACCATGGCCGCCGTCGGCAGGTAGTCGAACACGCTCCTGCAACACCCCCGCCCGTTACTCATGACAGATGAGAAAAACTTAGTGGATAGCATCAATACCGACGGTGTAATATACTCGTATTCTTGTTAAACGAAAGTTAGCTTCCCCGGCGCCTGATAATTTTTTTTATAAAAAACGGTATGATGAATCAATAGATCAGGCGAAACACATCACTCGAGCGAGCGGATGTATTTTATTTATTCAGATAATAATAGCAATAATCAATCAAAATCACTAGATCGATCGATAACAACAATACTGCTGATTGGAATGCAGTGAACATCCAACAACGCAACGGAGCGGTACGCACCTGGTGACGTAGGGCGCGGGGTTGTCGTGCGTGAGGTCCAGGAACAGCGCGTGGGCCACCTGCGGGGCGGCGGGGGCGCGCGGGGGCGGCAGCAAGGCGAGCTAACGCTAGGGAGGGAGGGGGGAGAGGTACGCACCTGGTGACGTAGGGCGCGGGGTTGTCGTGCGTGAGGTCCAGGAACAGCGCGTGGGCCACCTGCGGGGCGGCGGGGGGCGCGCGGGGGCGGCAGCAAGGCGAGCTAACGCTAGGGAGGGAGGGGGGAGAGGTACGCACCTGGTGACGTAGGGCGCGGGGTTATCGTGCGTGAGGTCCAGGAACAGCGCGTGGGCCACCTGCGGGGCGGCGGGGGCGCGCGGGGGCGGCAGCAAGGCGAGCTAACGCTAGGGAGGGAGGGGGGAGAGGTACGCACCTGGTGACGTAGGGCGCGGGGTTGTCGTGCGTGAGGTCCAGGAACAGCGCGTGGGCCACCTGCGGGGCGGCGGGGGCGCGCGGGGGCGGCAGCAAGGCGAGCTAACGCTAGGGAGGGAGGGGGGAGAGGTACGCACCTGGTGACGTAGGGCGCGGGGTTGTCGTGCGTGAGGTCCAGGAACAGCGCGTGGGCCACCTGCGGGGCGGCGGGGGCGCGCGGGGGCGGCAGCAAGGCGAGCTAACGCTAGGGAGGGAGGGGGGAGAGGTACGCACCTGGTGACGTAGGGCGCGGGGTTGTCGTGCGTGAGGTCCAGGAACAGCGCGTGGGCCACCTGCGGGGCGGCGGGGGCGCGCGGGGGCGGCAGCAGGGAGCCCACCGCGCGCCCCCCGTAGCGGTGCACCAGCCGGCCCTGCTCGCGGCAGTCCCACGCGCTCTGCGCCTCTGCCGCACATCGACACATTACTATACGTAGCTTTACTCGACGACAATTTATGCTCCCGACTTATCCCGACATTAACAGACCTACAACCCGTTCCGTTTAAAGTGGCGCGAGATGATTTTATTGTATATTTAACATTATACTCCACTCTCATTAAATCGAAACTCTTAAAATATTACGATTTCTCGAGTGTTGAAATATCAAATGGTTCGAAATTTGTGAGAGTAAATAAATAAAATTTCAAATTATTAAGTGCCGGTCGATTATTATTTATGTATTAACTCCTATTCTATAACGATGACAAAAGTTTAGAGGTACATTCGTGCACATACATATAATCATAATGTAAATTAATTAATCGTTCGAAAAAACTCTTTTATACTAATTTTGTACTCTGTTAATACCTATACACCAAAAATAAAAAGAGGTACAAGAACACTGCTTTGTGGAACTCCAATGTTTTTTACTTTTAATTCTGAATGATACTTACGAGTTATGCCCTTTCAATCTAATTGAATTATTTCAACAGATTGCATCCTATTTTGTAAATACATTTTGATCCAATTTAAACCTGTACCTCTGATACCATTGTTAATTTTTTTTACCCGACTGCGCGACGCAAAGGAGGGTAATGTGTTTATCAATCTATGTATGTATGTTTGTTTCTATGTGGCGTTCTAAAGACGAAATCGACTGCCTTCGACATATCAAAGAAAAGAGCTGTTGTATATTTGCTTTTGTTAATGCTTTATAATATTTCGTTAATTAAAACAAAAGCCGCAAGTATAGTAGACTTTTTTTTTGAAGCCATGTTGATTATTTTTAGCACATATTTATTAAAAAATATACGGAGAGGCGGGGAGGCGAGGAGGTGGAGCATACGCACCTCGTATGAGCGAGGTGATGCCGAGGCGGTTGACGAAGATGTTGTCGACGTGGTCCGAGTTGGTGAACAGTTCCGCCACCACGTACAGCTCCGGCTTCACGTTCCGCGCGCAGTCCAACAGATACTCCGCCACCTTCCCGCCAACACATGTTTACATATACATATATATACTAAAAACAGGTAAGTAAGTATTTTATTATGAACATATAAACGGTGATTCTTTAATCTTTAATCGATTCGAGTAGTCGATTAGTACTCGATCGCTTGAATTCCATATCGATTTAAAATGTCACAACTCTAGTCGTGGACATCGACGATTAAAGTGTTCGTAGTCGTTATTCAAGTTCATCCATAGATTAATTACTAAAGCACAGAAACCATGATAAAATTAAGAGTTGGAAATAACTATATGTCTCATAATAACGCGATTGAAATTGCCTATAGTAAATGAGATAACGAATTCACATTTGTTTCTTAATTAATAAGGATGTCACGAGTTGATTATCAAACTTGGATGCATTGGTTACGTAGTTGGATGTATTCACAGTTTTTATATTACTAGAATAAATGGTCCTTATATTCTCTTAATCTTATTTAAATATATGACAACTTCACTTCGTAGCATCATAGTCACATTATTACTTACACGGTAATTGGAATATCTGTTAGAAAAAATACCTCTCATTTTTATTCAAATAAAATTCAAAGTATTATTTGTAATTGTAAGACCTGAGAGTTAAAGGAATTCTGTGATAAAAAATCTTCTGTTATCGTGGGCTGCAAGTCTCCCACAGAAGAAAAGAAAATTCTCACTATCAATAACCTTTCATCGTTGAGTTGTTTGTTTTCGACAAACTTTACTTTGCTACAAATTTACATAAATTGAGACATGACTAATACTAATATATTTCTTTTTAACGCATTAAGACGGGTCGTAAGGAAAAAAACGACGAAAATATGTATTTTAGGATGGTTTCTACGCTTTAGTTATAATTGTAAGAGGCGTGGTGTGGCGGACTCACGTGCAGCGGCGTGGAGTGGCAGTTGTCCAGGCGCAGGCCGTCGAACAGCTCGGCCGTGAGCTCCACGTACTCGCGCATGTGCGCCCACAGGAACGGGCTGTCCTCCGGGCCCGCGCCGTACCTGCGGGTCATTAGTTAGTCAGTTAGTACTGCTATTCCAGATTTGAGGCTGTCCTCCGCTCGAAGGGCTCACCTGAGCTTGACGCTGTCCCCCCAGGCGATGAGCTCCCGGCGCAGATAGACGCGCGCGTCATGCTCGGGCGCGGCGAAGTCCTGCAGCGGGTCGGCGTCCATCACCCAGCCGTTGTGCGCGCTCACGCGCTCCCCCCCCTCCCCCCACACGCACGCCTCCGCGTCCGCCAGGTCCTCGTCCGTCCACGTGAAGTACCTGCATGCAGATGAATTCCCGAAGGCATCGATAGAGATGAGGGCGTTCTGGGAGCGGCCGGGACTAAGAGCTTATTATATTTTTATTTATTCTCGGGAGGCGTAGATGCCTATCGTACATACAAAAAACTAGCCGAGTTAGGTTTTAGACTCCGATATGTCGTCCCGAGCCGGGAGAAGAGACGACATTGTTAGTCGTTATAAAATATTTTATTTTGTTAGTAATAAACTTCAGGACTGAACTCGGCCCCCGTTTGAATCTTTCGTCGTCGAATACGATGACCGAGGCATATCTCGGCTCACATTTTACATTATCTTTTCGATTGGATATCATTACTTTTTGTCCAGTGGGTAAGCATCGAACCTGAACACCGGCTGTCATCGATTTCAATTGTCACATTACAGGGACTACAAAGGGACGTTCCTAATTGAATCTATTTATTGATATTGTCTCGAGCTACTCCGTGCTTCGGAAGGCACGTTAAGCCGTTGGTCCCGGCTGCATTTGCAGTCGTTAATACCCTCCAATCCGCATTGGGCCAGCGTGGAGGGTCATGGCCCATCCTTCTCAACCATCCATAAGGAAGGCCTGAGCCCCTGCAGTGGGGACGTAAAAGGGCTGGTGATGAATCCTCAGTTGCGACCGTGTATTTTATAGTTCGATCAGTGTATATGTACTTTGACGAGAATACTTTCCTTTATAATGACGTAGTTATTCGGTTTACCATGGCAATTGTAGTGTTAAACGGTATGGAAAAAATTCCAGAACTTGCAAGGAAAATGGTATAATTTTCCACTAGAACGATAAATTTCATTTTTATTTTTACCTCGAGGAGTTCAAGTTATAGTGGACAATTATAGGTAACTTTTAAAAAAGCAGCACGCGATGATGTCTTCTTAAAGCCCATCACTTTCATTACTAAATTAGTATATTTATTTCATTTTGACAAAACATATGTAACACCGGTATCGCTACGGCATGCTATTTTTAGATATGATTGAGATCGATATACTTAAGCATGAATTACTATCACATAAAAAAAATTATAATCAATGCACAAATTAGTACACGAAAGGTTAATACCCAATATTCGTCAATAAACGTAGGTATATAGGTACCGTAGAGTACCTATGTTATATAAAAATATTTGCATAAAATTATTATCTACGTTTAAAAATTATAAATAAAATATATTTTAACGACATGTAATAGTAACATTCAATATCTATCAATTACCGACATGCCTTTAACACAGTTTGGTTCCCATCGCTATGGAATACGTGTCTTAGCCAATAACGTCGCCGCAGGGACCTCGCCCGCCACCTTCCCCACCGCTAAGATCGGTATCTTTATTTTTTAAACAAAAAAGTAATCGGGCGGTAACTGTCGGGGGCTGTATGTGCGCTCAAACATCGAAGTCGCTCATCGAGCGAAAAAATAGGTAAAGGCGGGACGCCGCCCTGGCCCCGACGTCCAGCGTTTAAAAATATGTACACGTAAACACCACGTACCTCGGCACCAGCGGATGTTTATCGCTCACTTCCTCGATGCGCGGGCCGTCCTCCTGCAACCTCTCGTACCTGCGGGAGAGCGAGACGAGATTCAATTCGTTCACTATAGCAGTCGACGTAATCGGAAAGAAAAAAAGGAAAGCCGGCGAGCGTACCGCACGCAGGCGATGCAGTTGTCGAGCGCGGCGCGCAAGTGGGCGGCGACGGCGGCGGCGGCGGCCGCGTTGAGCGCCTGCAGCCGCCGCCGCAGCGCTGCGCCGCACGCCGCCAGGCGCGCCTCCTCGTCCGCGCACGACGCCCTGGAGCGTACACACCAAGATGTGAGATTCGGGAATGTGCTCAGGTCAAATATTTCAACTAAAGGAGCGAAAAAGCAGCGAGTGCTCGAAAAATTCGTCAGCCCTGGTAGCTCAGTGGTTAGAGCGGTCGCCCGGATTGCGAAAAGTCATGGATTCGAGTCGCATCTCAGGGTGCTAGAGACGAAGTGAACTTTGTAAACATATTTCATTAAGAACGGTTTATTTCAAACATACTTAAATTAGTCACCGTTTCGAATATTTCTTTCATGCTTTTAATCGCTTCCCCAACAAACGAAATAACAAACTTGCTACTTGGAAATCATTTAATTTGTCCTGTGATTATTGACACGAGTTATAAAAATGGACTACATGTATGTAGATGAGCGACGTATGAGCGTATGTGTGTATACCGGTAGGTGTTGTAGAGGCGCAGCGCCAGGTCCATGTCCACGGTGGCCCGCAGCCGCCGCCGCAGCGGGTCCGGCACCAGCCGCAGCTGCTCCCCCTCCGCCTCCCCCTCGCCCTCCCCCACCGCCTCCCCCTCGCCCTCGCCTCTCACGGCCGGCACCCTGCACAGATACCGATAACATCGTCGCCGACGGTTCTCTGATAAATATCATACTGATATATATATCTTGATATATCAATTGATATTTATTGTTAGTTTTAAATATTGAGTCTCAGCTAGAAAATGCATGCGATGTGAAGCTAGCAACGATCTCCCTAGTGAGTAAGATTGTTACTGTTACCAAGCTTCAGACTTCAAAAAACCAGAGGATCATTTCTGGGTAAATGTATTGCTATGTTCAATAAAGTTCCACAAAATGTAATTGATCTACCCATAAATAAATTTCAAATTCATGTAAAGAATATACTTATGAGTAAAGGCTATTATAAAGTTGATGATTATTTTAAGGATCGCAATGCATGGAATTGATAGCCTTCGCTTTGTTCTATAAAGACTAATTATATGTTCAACCTATGTCCTTCAGACTTTGAAAGTTGTATTTATTATTGTGATAATAAATATTATTTTGGTAATGACATGATTTATGTAAATGTCATTACTTATGATAAAAAGCTGGTAAGTTTCTTTCGCTTGTTCTTCTTGTCAGCTAAAAGACGTCCTGAACAAGTGGTAGGGGAAAAAAAAATTTTTTTGGACTATTCAAAAGTGCTTGTAATAGCCTACTTGAATAAAGATATTTTCATTTGATTTCATTACTTTGAGCATATATTGCACAAAATTTCTTTTAAGAAATTTCGGGTTTTCCCCATAATATGAATGCGAAGATCGAACGGTTAGTTTCTTTATTATTTCTTAAAATTAAAAAGTAGGTAATTCAAAGGTAAGTCAGGCATTCCTGTCTGTACACGTCACTAAATCCTCTCATGGATAGTGATTTGTAATTATTTTATAATAAACAAACAAATATTAAATATATCAAACTCAATCTGTATTTTACACTTTTGATTTAATAGATCAAATAATATTTAAAGTAAAAATAATAATTAAAGCAGCTTATAATCGCAGCTTTTCATAGGCATGATATGATAGGTTGCGGGAAAGTTTCTTCGCAATTTATAAGAAAATTCAAAACATTTTTTAATAAAGTTTATTTACATTTAACTTAAGTGTGTAGGTACCATTTTGTTCGATAACTTTTTGTCATCTTGTAAATATGGACATGATTTCATTGCTGTAGAATTTTTGGGACTTCTTTAAGGCGATTTTGTAAAAATCCGAAACCGAATTCGAATTCACTCATGTGTTCAAATTCACGTCATTTAGTGAAGAATTTCTATTGATTCCACTTTTTACATAAAATTACAAAACAAAATTGATCGATTACACGTGTCTCAGATATTCTATTCCTATATTACTTCCAAGCTCACTTCACTTATGTCACGAAACGTTATAACGGGTTTAAATTTTTACAGAATAGCAGGGCTGATAAAAAAACCGCGACACGTGATTCGGGCAGTACTCGCGTGATGTTAACCTGGCACTGCCTAAAGAATTCTGAAGAGACCGAAACAGGTAGAAATTTGAAGGTGCAAGGTCAGGAAAATACGGCGGATGCATTAACACCTCCCAGCCAAAGTCTCTTAATTTTTACCCAGTGGCAAAAGATGTGTGCGGTGAGCGTTATCATGATAAAAAACCACAGCCCTATTTACTAATTCTGGCCGATTTCTCTTAACTTCTCGGTTTTGACTCATCAGTCGTTCGCAGTAAAGTTCAAAATCGACGGTCCCGCTCGGCGGTAACAGGTCATAATGAATAATGCCCTTCCGATCCCACCATACACATAGCATTTTCGCCGTAGTAAAGAACCATAAATGAGTACACGGTTCATTAGCGTTCTTTCGGGGAGTTCGTGAGGTATCCAAATATCCAACTTATTTTTGTACCCAGCATATTCAAATGCGCCAAAACTTTTTTATGGTCAATCCCCAGTTCTTCAGCTACGTCGTAACAACTGATATGCCAATCTGGCTCCGTTTTTTTAAAATCGGATCCATTTTATCCGGATATAGGGAAACCGGCGCGACGTGCATTTTCGACATCAAAATTTCTGGACTGAAAACGCTTAAACCAAATTTGAGCTACTCGCACAGAACTGCGTTGCATTATTCTTTTTTTTAATAAAAAAAATAAACGTATCGATCATAACTTTATAAGATTCACTCATCGAGAAAAACAAAAGAACCTCGCACATTTTCCTAATTTAAATTCGGAGTTATTTTCCTTAAAATCGATTTTTTAACGATAACGAAACGAGCCAGATACAAATAGAATAGCCAGAAAGATTTTATTACAAGTTTATGCATACTATATGCGAAAAGACTGTTTCCCCAACCTCATATATCGCATATATATTTGATTTGTGCGAACCCTTTTTTTTATTTTATCGAACGAGAACGAGAGCCGGAAAAATCAATCGAACGAGGGAAGACCCGCTCGGCCGGCCGACAGACGTCGGCGAAAAAATAAAAAAGCGTCCGAGCCGCTCGAGGATAAAAGTACTCACTTGTTCCTGGCCATGGCGCAGAAGTCGTGCAGCAGGCGCTCCACGTCGCAGCAGAACATCTCGTGCAGGCGCAGCTGCTCCACCTGCGCCGCCATGACGCGCTCCAGCGCCTGCAGGTGGTGGTTGTGCGCGAGGCGCGCGGGCACGCCGGCGGGGGCGTGGCTGCCGGCGGCCGTGGCGCGGGCGAGGCGCGCCAGGGCGGCGTCCAGCAGCGCGGCGGGGCGGAGGTGCGCGCAGTTGGCGCAGTTGTACGTGGCCTCGGGGTGCGCGCGCAGCCACGCGCTCTCGTTGGCGGTGTGGTTCAGCACGATGTCGCAGATGGACAGCATCTGCGCACGAGGGAAGGTGAAGGCGGCGGCGGGCGTACGCCGTAGGCTTGTAACATACGTTTTCAGGGGGCGTGTAATAGTATGAAAATAATTAAATAACAAATTAAACTTTTTATTTTACACGGTGAAACTAAAAGTGGGTCACGTCGAATGCTGACATTTAATAATTATAATTTAGGTGCGATCGTGTTGAGTATATGTGCGCGTGTATTAGTATAATGTTGATGACTATATAAATATGGAAATTGATTTGTGATTGTCTCTTTTTTTAATAAACCGACGTCGACCTAACGATGTGTTTGGATTTCACCTATAATTAGCGAGCGAGATACCTCAGGCTATACACGGCGGTCGGCGGAGGTGGTGCCGTGTCCCGGAATTTGACGATGCTAGATTGACGCGGACGCACCCTCGCATCTCTGACCCTGGACTTTTTAAATCACTTTCACTCGAATATTGCACGTTTCATTTTAAAATCCGAACACTAAAAACGTCGTCGTCGTTTCACAATAATATATTAAAAGCCGGTCGGCTCGATGATTAGCTAATATTTTAATAGCATAAAATCAGTCCTCGCTCGTTAAACATTAAAAATTACAACAAACGACGATTCGCCCTCCCGTCCTAGAGTGTGAAACGGGAGCCCGAGAGGTATACGGCTCGGTGTCGGACGTTACGTATAGGAAACGGACCCTACCGATTTTCGACTGTACCCTAGCCGTCGTTCGGTCGCTCGCGTAACCATCAAAGTGAACGTGGAGTGAAAGCGCAGTGTGATTCCGATGTATTATACGAACGACTCGACGTAATAAATATAAACAATAATAAATAAATATTATTACACTCATATAATAAATTATTAATAAACATCTACTAGGCCAAATTTTTGCCTCTGTCTGTAAATTAATAATAGAAAAACGAAGTATTGAAAACGATCTCAAATCGGTTTCTGAAAATTATCAAATTATTCAAATTCCATTGTCAAATTTATTTAATTTATTTGCCAATATTTCAATAATAGATATAAAATTTTCAACGAGGTGCGAACCGTACTAGATTGAGTTGCAACAGACACTGTAAAAAAAGTTAATTTATTTCAATTCTAATGATTGCATTAAAGATACAAAATATTTTTTATTCTCCTGTCGCAATATTTTATTAATAAACTGTTAAATTTGTAATTGTTTTTTTTTTTGTTACTAAACCTTAATTATCTTGATACTCTTTTTGTAATATTTATGTTTAAGTATGTATACAACATAATTAAAATAAGACCTAAAATAAAGTATTCACAGACGCTTCAGCATACAACGTAACATTCAAAAAGATTTCTTCTTAAAATCGCGAAAGTTTTAGTAGTATATAAGACCACCGATTGTACTATAATTTATTTTTGTAATTATAATAATTCACAAACACATTTAATTATTAGAGTTTATACTTATGTATAAAATAAGTTAACACAATATCGATCTTAATATCTCGAATCCCGGGGAATATCCATGTTAACTACCGACGCCGACCACTGGTTATTTATTAAATGACAGGCGTCCGTATCGACTAAATATTTAGGTGATATCTGATGGAAAGCATATTCTGTTTTGTTATAAAATTTGAATGGGACCGTGTTGGTCTCGTTTATATTTTTTTCACGAAGCTGTCGAATAAAAAACAATTTAGAAAATCATAAAAACCATACGCCATACGCCGCCGTCGAACATATAACCAAAATGAAAGACAAAGTAACCTTCCAGTCGGTGCGCATCTTGGTGACGAGGTTCTCGACGTCGGCGAAGGAGGCGTCCGCGCCGAACGCGGGGTTCAGCCGCAGCTGGTTGGCGATGCTGTAGCTCGAGTTCGACGCGCCTAACTCCTGGCGGGTTCCGATATCAACTCATATTAGACACAGTTTACAGACGTCTCCTTCCACTGCCGTTTAGTTACGACATTTTTGTTGCCGATGCAGGTTTTTCCTATACCGAGTCGTATTCGCTGAATATGAGTAAAAACTCATATTCGGTGAATAGCAGTAATCGAACGAGGTTATAAATATACACACCTTTTTTTTACTCAGAGATTCAATAGGTTTTAATTAACTACTGCAATATTTTGTTTAAAAAGCACGTTTTCAGCTAAATGTTAACAAGACTGCCGCCTATCGATCATCGACAGCCAGTTCGCTGTCTGTTCCACGACGACAAAGGCGTCAGAGACGGGACTCGAACCCGGAGCCTATTTCGATCGGGGCGGTCCGTCTAGGTCAGAGGTCGGCAACCTGCGGCTCGCGAGCCACATGCGGCTCTTTGACTGGGAAGCTGCGGCTCTTTAGTTCCGAACACAAATATTATTTATTTTATAAAAAAAAATCATTTTAAAACTTTCTGAATCGATGCGCAAAGATTCGGCACCACTTCTATCTCTCAGCCACATAGTCTTTGCTTGTTGTAACTTTGTAACTAAAAGTTTAATTGTTTTATTTTTTACTTGAATTATAATTATTAATACCATAAATATGTTTATTTTTTTTATGAAAAAATCTACTCATATATGAATAAATAAATATTATTTAGTCTTATAAATAAATAGATTAAAATTACTTTATTTATGCAAGTACTATATATAGTGATTGAATCACCATGATTGACCGAAAGTAGTTGATTCCGTGCATCGGGGGGCACGTTAAGCCGTCGGTCCTGCGCCTGATCTCTCACCGGTCGTGTCGGTCAACCGTCCTATCGGATATAGAGAGTGGAAGGAAGAGAGAGTGAACTATAAGAATGCGAAACCTAGTTGGTCACAATAAGCAAAGTCCTGCGCAGTAAGTCGATGTCAGTGAGAGTAGGACTACATTACTTATTTATTGTAGGCATAAAAACATTTTGTGGCTCTTTAAAAACTTAAAAATGTTGTAAATTGTAGCTTTTGGCTCTTTTGACTCAAAAGGTTGCCGATCCCTGGTCTAGGTGACGGCCCTCGAGTACTTTTTACGAGATACCTAACTATGATAGGAGTACCGATACCTGCACGGGCGTGAAGTGTATCATGTTGTACCCGGCGTCGTGCGCCACTTGCAGCGTAGCCTCCCAGCGAGACAGCGGGCCCAGGCACTTGGCCAGCACCGTCTGGCACATCACGCCGTCCAGCGGCACCACCTCCCCCCCACCCACCCGCAGCGTCGGGCTCACCTGGAACCAGCCCGACCCCTGCGGCCCCACGCTCGACTCCCTGCGGGACACACGACCGCAGCTCTAACTTAAGGATCTACCCGTCCGGATCTCGTTTGAAGCGGTGTTATCGCAGGAGCTAGACAGGTAGGGGCGGGCGCCGGGATACTTGCGCGCTGTCGTAGACGAAGTAGTAGTGGAAGGAGCCGGCGCGCTGCAGCCGCAGCTCGCAGTAGAGGTCGGTGTCGGTGACGAGCACGCCGCAGCCGAGCGCCTCGTCCCCCGCCGCCCCCGCCGCCCCCTCGCCCGCGCCGCCCCAGTCGCCCGAGCCGCCCGAGCCGCGCCGCCACTCCAGCCCGTAGTATTGGTTGCGGACGAATTCTGCCTCTCCATTTTTACTCTCATCTGCCGACGAACGGAATATGATTATGCTGTAGCAACTTGAATATGAACGTATACGAATGATCGAACGAATGCTCACCGCCGTCGGTCACTACGTAATTTGTATACAGAAACACCTTTCGCCCCAGTAGACTAGGGCCCGGACTGAATTGTAAATAGCAGCCTTTTTCTAGCCTGAAAAACAGAGGGGCGCGTTAAAAAGAGGACAAAGTAGTGATAGCAGATGTAGCTTATATGAATAGTATCGGCATTCAGTTAAGCGCATCATCGGAACCGAGAAGATTCTAAACCTGGTAATTTTTAGTTTTCATTTTAGTAAGTCGGAAAGCGAGGAGATACCCGATAGGGCGGTATGAAAATTTTCCATCTCTAAAAAAGTACCGGTAGAGCGTGGAGTCATGGTGCTCGGTGTGCTCGAGTGTGATGACGCTCGTTTGCGGTTCTGGTTCTGGGAGTGTAGCGGGGGCGGCGGCGGTGGCGGGGGGTCGCGCGCCCTCAGCGACGCATCGTTCGATCGCCATCTGCCTCTGCGAACACGACATCACGCGCTAATCAGCCGGCGGTCCAACGGTATCTCCGAATAAAGCGGCCGGTACCATGAGTCTCGCCAAGAGAACGATCACAGTTTCGAACAGCGACCCGATCGCCCTCGTCACTAGGTCCATCGTCTCCGACCACCTAAACATGAATGAAATAAACGCTGGACCTTTTCGATGACGGCCTTCTCTTGCACCTTCCGCCCATAATCGCTCTTGTCGCGAGTCACCATGTTCGGCATGTCGAATAGTCACCGTTTGCGAGTACCCATATAGAACAGCACGATAAGTATGAACGCGGCCGTCGACTTCACGACCGCTTAAATAAACCACGGGAGCGCACACCGGAACACTGGCGGCCTACCATCTTGCGGTGTGCCAGGGCTGTCCCATTGTATGCATTAAATATACTATCCAAAAATATAACACTTTTCAGAAGTAACCTATTTGGTTACACAAAGATTAAAATCGATGATGACACAATTAGGTACAATAAATTTTGCCATTAATACCAACGACCGACGACCTTCAGTTGCCGAGTGGCTCGCACCTCGGTTTTGCCCGGGTTCGATTACAGTTGGACCCATGTAGTAAATTAACTTCTATATATTGTCTGTGGACTGAATATTTGTGTTACAATCGTCGTTTCAGAGTTTCTAATGTTCTCTAATTACGATAAGATCAATGGAATAACTTTCGTATTCCAGACGATCTATATTAGTTATATAGAATAACAATACTCTAGCTATTCTAATAATAATATACAATACTCTAGAAAATAAGACATCGTTTCACAGCTGTCGGTAAGTTGTCATGAGTAAGTGAGCTGAGCCACAACCCTATTGACAGCACAACGGAGCATCAATGTGAAGATATCTGGTTACAGTGTTTTGTAGTAATCTAGCTAGCGTAACAGGAGCCTGAACTCCAGGACTCACTGCTATGTGTACTACTTTTTATCGTCATTCTCTTTGCTATATATTTTTTTAATATACGTAGCGAGTAGGTGAGCCCGAATACCACAGATGGTTTTTTTCATCAAAAGTGTCAGAATGAGCTGGCAGGCGCCATCCATGCGACCCTCTTGCTACGCTACACCACGGTTTACCTCGCATGGGGTGAGGATAATGAGCAATCCTGCTGATTCATTATAAATTTTACTTTTACTTTCAGACGAAAACAAAAGGAAAAAACGAATCCTACTAGTCATAAGGAATAGAAAATTTGTATATGTTGTACCTTATTCCGCCTTGATAATAATCGCGCCAGACAGCATAACATGGTAGCGGAGGAAAGCGTATTTTGCATTAGTTATTACGTATTAAGTATTTGAATTCTAAAGAAAAATGTAAATGCCTTAATGCAAAGGCATATAGAAGAATAAATGAGCTCAAATAGATTAAGCTATAAACATCGGTATAAGATAGAAAGGCAATATCCAGTAAAGTGACAGTAATGAAATAGATAGACGATCTCAGCTCTAAACAGATACAAAAAATATATATATATTTAAGATTTTTATTTCTGTATTTCCTCTGCTTTCAGACAAACCAACGTTTCTTATTAACCCCCTACGCAAAACGATGGGTGTTATAGTTTGACTTAGCTTCTGAAATAATGAACCATTTGAGTGCGGTTTTTTTTTTTGTTCGAAAGCCTAGTTCATCGCGGTTTGGTTCTTAGCTGTTTTATGAAAATCGGATAAGTGGTTTAGGAGCTACAGGCACTTTACCAAAATGTTTTTTTTTATTATTTGTACTTACAGCATCCTAGCTTGTAAACGAATAGACCGATTTGATTTTTTTTCTATCGATAGCTTCCTTTATCAAAATTATTTTGGGACATATTTTTACTATGAGAAATTTAAAAACTATGAAATAAAATTTTAAGAACTCCCAGCCTAAAAATACATTTAAAAAGGTAAACTTTTAGTATGTAACTTTAAAATAAAAATAAGTTTGGCTTTTCAAACTTCTCACTACAGTCGGAAGAGCCTTAAATTGCAAACGGTCCCCAGACTGCAATGACAATCTTGTTAAGGCAAGTTTATTTTTATTCCTTTTAGAGTGATTCTTTGGGTTGGGGGCTTTTTAACTTCATGATGACCTGAAAAACCACAGAAAAACAAAATACCTACCTGATTTTGTTTACTTCGACGGCATTATTGTGTTATTAAGGTTAGAATTCTTTTAGTTATTTTGTTATAACTACAAAACTGCTGATCCGATTACGATGTTTTTTTTTACAGGACCAGCCCATTATCAATTTAATCATTTTTGAAGAAGTCTATTAAAAACCGAGATCACAATCTTCAAATCGAATGGGCACATTTGGCGTTGTTCTTGCTCGGAGGAATAATTTTTTATTGAATTAAAATAGTAGATAAACAAATTCTCAACATAATAGGTCCTACGGACTGTTAGTTCGATTCAACTAGTCTTCCATCGACATCTATTTGTAAACCTAGTTGACCCTGAGATAGGACATAGGTTACCTTTTATTGTGATAAAGGAGTTGAAATAGGTAATAAAAGTTTGTATGGAAATTCGTCTTGTTAAAGAAAAAATCATGAAACTTTATATTCAAGCATTTTATACCATAATAATTAAATATTTGTTTTGCTGTATTTGGAATTGCTGCTCAAAGTAACTACACCACAACGGACGAATAGGCAAAAGTTAGTACATAAATAAGAATATAGATATACATAAATAAGATGCAGAATTAGCCTATAAACACATCATATATTTTAAAGACAACAAACACTACGAACCATCTACATAATGCATTTCTTTGTCATGGTCATTAACAAAACCCATTACGACTGTAAATACAACAAAGAGGTTTCATTATTTATCTTATCAACGACGTCGCGTTGAAATTGCTTTTGATACTGTATTTTTCTCTTGGGGGCAAAGTTGGATTGGAATCATATGGCTTTTAAAACATAGTATTTGTAGCTAGTTATTAGTTTAATAATAGATTAACAATATTTGATTGTCCTAACGTTGACTCAGAATGTCCCAGCATGTGTCATAGTTATCTGAGCTGCTGACTAGAAGCTGCACCTTCTCAGGTTCTCCTCTTAGCTTTGATTTTAAACGCTGCATCTTTTACACTTCAATATAGCTACGTTCTGCTATATAGTTTCTACAAACAAATTTCTAAAGTATAACTTCGGCAAATCAATTCACGATGTTCAATTTTGATAGTAAGTAGTCGAGTATATCTTTCTATTTAGAGATTTTCTAAGAGTATCTGATTTCTTTTGCATGGACGTATTATAAATTTCCTTTGATATTTTCAATAGAGATTGAAGTTCTAAATATGTTTTTTCCACAACATCCTACTTATTTTTTAGTATGCTCAGTTGATCTACCATTTCCCACTTCTCAGTTATAGAGTCGAGATTGATCTTTTTCATAGCTCTTTTTGATGCTATGACAAAAATATTATTATTTAAAAGTATTAACATAGTGATGAAATTGATATTTGAGTACATAATTTATAACAAAAAGGTATTTTAATAACATTTTAGAAAAGATTAAAGTATGAAATCATTTTATATAGGAAAAAAAAAACACATTTTATATATTTTGAGTTGTATTAGATGGCGTTAAATATATTTCTACATCAGACTGTTTTGGTCAAAGTTGAATTTTAAAATAAAATTTATTAAGAAGCTTTGCTATATTATATGGCGTTTATTCTTACCCAAAATGAGTAATCGTTTTTTAAGCCCCAAAATTTCTGCAGCAATGGTATCATGTCCCTACCCACAAGATGGCAAAAAGTTATCGAACAAATTGGTACCTAGATAGTTTAGTTAAATGTAAATAAACTTTATTTGTTCTTGTCTTGATATTGGTATCAAATGATTTGCTAAGAAAAATAAGAATATACATATATCCCTTCAAAAGTTCACATTATAGATGGCAAACTTATTATATTTAACACACTTATGACTAAGCTTGCATTGCATTAGTTGACCTGTCCCGAATTTTCCAGGACAGTACCAATTTCAATGATGTTATCCCACATCCCAATTTCTTATTCATTTTGTCTCAATTGTGATGCAATCCGCATCCTAATAGTTTTTTTTTTTTGGTTTTCCTATTGTTTCTACATACCTTGAACTTAAGTCTAATTATTTCTGATAAATATTCAAATGTCCTGAATTTTCTTTTCCAAAGGGGGCAACCCTGCTCATGAATAGGTATCAAATGAAACTGTTTGCTGAGAACATCATAGTCAGTGGGGGACTAAGGCAGTTTTTATAAAAAAATAATGCATTAAAATTATTATTTGATGTGTAAAATAGGGTAATTACTAACAATATTTGCTGAGAACATCATAGTCAGTGGGGACTAAGGCGGTTTTTATAAAAAATAATGCATTAAAATTATTATTTGATGTGTAAAATAGGGTAATTACTAACAATATTTTAGTATCATTTGTGAATACTCTTGTATTACCCAGCATGCGTAGTATGACAAACTCGAGAATGTTTTGTCTACACTTAAATGCCACTTTTCTCGGGTGCACTCATACAACATCTCACTCTTAACCCGAAAAAGTGACATTTGGGTGTAGACAGAGCTTTTTGAGTTATGCTACATGTGCTACATGTGGAGGTAAGTATATAAAGAAAATAGTAAGTTGATAAATAAGTCTTAAAATGGCGATATCATTTTATTGTAAAACAAGAAGTCTTTGACTTAGTTATGTGTTGATAAAAACTCTGAGATTATACTAATTAAATATAATAATAAAAAGCTAAAAACATGAAAAGTATGTAAATATTGTTTAAAAATTCAGAAACAGGATTTAAAATTAAAAAAAAAATTATTTATCATAAATTGAAAAATAATAGTTAACAGAATATTTTCATTTTCAGAATAGTTCTTATGATGAACCTCAAATTAAGAATTCTTACCCTTTAATATACAACTTTCTTCGATAAATTCAGCAGCATAATAGAAAGAGTCAGTAAAGTATAAACTTAT